CTCCATGATTACTTGTTCCAACCTTGGTCTCCTACATGAATAAAAAAAGGATAAGGGCTGTGTGTGTGCATGTGTGTGTTCACAACACGTATATTTAATCATTCAACTGACACATATTTTGTCTGTATCAAACAGCCAGTTAAGTAAAACTTTTAACTATTCTTACACGTATATAATACATAATGTATCACAACATAAGCTTTATATAAAGACTAATTATAAGATATTATAACAAAATAAACATCTATACCTTATGTAATTGAAACTATACGTGATCATACCTTGAACCAAATACTACACTTGCAAGGTCAGGAATGAATTCTGCTGGAATGCTATAAAGAATTTTCATTAAAACAAAAGTGTAACTGGTTCTCAACTAAGATGAAAAACCCCTTTAAGAGAGTCAGCCAAAATAAACTTAAAATATAAAAATTTATAACTAGGAAAAATTACTCTGTACAGCCGACATGATATATTAACCTTATCCATTTCATACAATACTTCTCTGGTATCAAAGATAAATATTTGTAAAGTTGATCAGAGGCACTTTGACCAGAATTCATTCATTCACTGGTTTTATTAAAAAAAATTTCAGACTTACTTCAGTTCTTGTAAGTCTTCTTTAAAAATCTGAAAAAGTCAACAATACAGTTATTTTTCAAATTTGTTGACACATTCATACAGTTTTGAGCAACTAGATCCAATAGCTACCTTTGTAAATGCCAAAGATCCCACATAACTTCAGGGACAGTTTCAATAAATGACATAAGGTCCAAAGCTGATGATTTTAACATCAATCCAATGTTTGTGGTTCTTGGGCCTATTTTGTAAAAATGGCTACTGTTTAAAACATACAGCTGCTTAATTCTAGTGTATAAGTATAGGTTTATCCAAGGTCAAGTTTAATGCCCACATAAGATAAGCATTTATTCTGCAGAACAGATCCATGATTGGTTCATCAGTAGTGAAAAAAACAATAACAATTTAAAAAAAAATGCACTTGAAAGTGAAAGTGGACATAAATCATCATTAAGGTCATACTTACCTCCTGTTTTAAGGAAGACTGTGGTAATCTCAGAGCTGCTTTTAGTAGACTATACAACCCACTATATGTGACAGCAAGCATCTCCTCCGATAAACTTTTACTTTGTAACACTTTGAACATCTCTGGTGTAACTGGCTTGTCTTCTAATGCAGTTATTGCAACTGTAAATCAAACAAAACAGAAGTGAGGTTGTTTTAGTCAAAGTTACACCATTGCACATAATTTTCTTACCAATGTTTCAAGGAAGTTTTTTTTTACGCTAAGAGTTAAAAATTCTTCAAGACAGCTTTAGCTTATGAAACATGCTGCTGGTACAGTACAGTACATGTACATGTACATGAAGCTCTTCATATGTGATTAACAGACTTGCATTCACAAATTGCGTATACAGGTGGTCAACCTTTGCAGTTTGTGGTTTTACCTGCGAAGTTTTTTTTTTAAATAAGCGCTATAGATTCACAAGTTTGACTGCATGTATAGCATACAAGACACATACAAAAAACAGTGGAAATTATACCAGTGCCAATTCTTAAAATTCAACATTGTACTCGACTTGAAGTAAATAATAACTATATTGTAAACAGACTTTAAAATATGCTTTAAACCTGTAGGGAAATATAAAATCCACTGAATGCCTGTTCTTACAATCCCTTTAGATACAGTTTGTCTATGAAAACAACTAAACAGAGTTAAATTAATTTGGCCACTCACTTTGCAGCAGCTTCCTGAACGTTTGTTTATCCATTTTCTTCACCAACTTCACCATGTCAGCAATGTCTTGCGGCGTCCTCCCGCCAACAAAAGATGTTCTGTCGGAGGCAATACCTCCACCACTGCCTGTGACCTGAATGATAGACATTTTGAATACTTTTGGTAAAGATTTAGCGTACTTCACCCTGCTGTTAGTATCAAACCCAAATGCCCTTCACCTCCCTCTTCATAGCCTCGCAGTTTGACCTACTTGTTTATTTCAGCCAATCAAATAATCGAAATTACAAAACTGCAGAGATTTTCAACATGGAGAGCACGGGACCAAGTCTCCAAGTCATGAGGTATTTATTATGGTTATTGAGATCGTGAATATCTAGAATTATGTTAACTTGATGAGGGTTTGGTGTGTTTCATATTTACCAAGTCTGTTTAAATTGTTTGTTCGATTTCTCTAAAGCACTTAAGGCTTAACCAGAACATCACAACAGTGGAAATATAATTCATTTGAGACTCCACTGTCAAGCAAAATTAAGGGCCCAGAGAAACTGAAGGTAAAATAAAAATCAGAGATGCCTCTGTTTGTATTTTGTGTTTTTAATACTGTTGAAAAAAAGTGGCATATTGGGGGCATAATTATCATTATATGTTGCAATCTTTTATGAAGCTTTTGATTTTTAGTTTTGCAAATATACTGATGAATTATAAATGAATATCTGAAATATTTTCTTCCTCAAATTCTTGTGATGATATTTTTTTAGTAATGAAGAGTCCAGTTGGCGAGTGTTCAAGACTTTGCTCACATTTACAATAATGATGATCACCCTCCCCGTTGGGATGTACTTTGTCAGCAAAAACATGGTGTTCGAAGGCAAGCATTTTTAAAATACCTTATTGTAGAATATTCAATGACATCTTAAAACAGTAGTGTAAGTGGTAAAGATATAAAAACATAATTGCATTGTCTTCAAGGAAAAGGGGCAAAAATTGCTTGTTAAAAAGTTTGTTATTTAAGATGATGATAATTTATGTTTATAATTTCAATTTTACCTTAGGTATGCTGGGTGTGGAGACCAGCCGTGCCCTTATTTATTCTGCAGGGGTGGCAGTTTTAATGGTGCATATAATATTAGGATTATTCATATATGTTGCATGGACAGAAGGAGGGAAACCTCCACAAGAAAGGGAATACAAACTGGATTAACTGTAGATGCAGTCTTCTCATAGTCCACGCATTGGAAACTACCATATATCATGTATATAATAAATCAACTGTCATTATGCATGTATATAAAGTACAGACAGCCAATATTATATATTGAGACTGAATGTTAAACTTGGGGAACCAGGGATTATGGCGTCACATGGGAGTTGAATGGATGTGGTAAACCTGTGTATTGCGAACCTGTTGTAGCGTCAGTTTAGATGTTGTTAACATTAGGAAAAGAACAGCTAATGATGCGATAAAAAGAGCAGACTGAGATGGTTTTTTAATGTTGCAGTATGTATCTAAATTGTAACTGACTCTTTTAAAGTTTAAAATCAGCACTGGTATAAGCTGCTCACTTGACAATCTGTGAGTACTGAAAAGTTGTATGGTGGACACTGTCAGCAGAATTTTTCTGGTGATCTACCAGAACTTTTATTATCTCAAAAAAGTTGTCATTGTGGTATGCTCAGGTTTCTTTCCCGTGTGTTGTAGATAATATTTCGTCTTTATACAAAAGATACTTTTACTGGATGAAGCACATTGATTTTCTGAAATGTTTATGCAGCGTGTTGCAGTGTTTTATGTTAAATACATGTACAGTGTGTATATACTAAATAGAAATGTCAGGTGAATGTTTTCGGGGATACAATAGAATGCAATTTGTTCTCTCAGCTTTGACACATACAAAATACTTGCCCATTCAGGACATACGCTTTCATTTTATTATTTTTTTTTTTTTTGCAACCAAGCACACTGGACTTAAATCCCATGCCATTATCAAGATGTCAGATATTATTTACCATGCAAACTATGGATGGAAAGTATGTGCATGTTCTCATTTTTTCTTGTAATGTTCAAATACTAATATGAATTGATATAAAATGGAAAGAACATTTCAGGATGTCATGGAACTTTTTATTTTTATTTACTCTGAATAAATGTGGCAATACATTCTTAATGTTTTATTAACTTCTAACTTAAAAAAAAAGAAAAAACTTGCACAAAATTTAATTAGAGGGGTAAGTTTTACAAGTCACACAAGATACCTTCGCACAGAGAGAAAAACCAAAGCATGGTTTTGCAGAAAAAAGGAAGTTCTTATAAAAAATTCATATATTAAACAAACTAATCAAAATGTACAACAAATGGATGTCAACTTTTTCACATTTGCTGCTAAATTTCAGTTACATTGCACCCAAATTACAACCTGAACTAAACTAGAGGATCAGAGAGGCGATACCGCCTCCGAATATTGTACCACCAGCTGGAGCAAGCGCATTCGTATAGACCCCCACATACACAAAATAAGGGACACAGCCACCAGTTTTGTGCTTGACAAGCTGTAAAAATGCAATCAACAAGAATTTTTAAACTATTGCAAAATATATATATGGTACAATCAAATTTAAGTTCTTCGTAAGGTAGGTCAAGGGTCACTTTCAAGGTCACAGTAAATTGCCAGTATATGACTTCCTATTCAAGTTCAAGAGTAACTATGGACCTATCTCTGTCAAGTTTGAAGTTAAAAGAGAAAGAAATTAGCAGAGTTCAGTTCATGATAAAAAGTAGGTCAAAGGTCAATTTNGTTCAAAAGTAACTATGGGCATATCTCTGCTAATTTTTGAGTATTTCACATTTTATTTTCACCACTGAATTTAGGATGTTGAACTTTTTGATATAGTGCAATGCCTTAGCCGTATTGAAAACAAAAAAATAGACACCACCCCCCCAGTGTTGCCCTTGACAAGTTCTACAAAATGCATAAAACAAGAGGTCTCTAGCATTAACAGTACCAGAATTAGAGAGAGTTTTCAGTTTCGACATCTAATAGCTGCTGCTACCATGAAAATGCACCGATTGACCCCAAACTCACAAAAATGAAAGATGACCCTAAGGGTAACACCTGCCCATAATATTATAGGTAAGATCTGTTTAGTTTCTGAAAATTGGCTGAAATAAAAATTTTCTTGCAAAAATTTCCAATTTTTAGAAAATTTTGGCCCATTTGACCTTGAAATAAAGGTCAAAGGTCAAATCCAAGGGCATATTTGAAATCCTCACATATGACTTTCGGTCAGCCATCTGTAGAAATTTTTCCCATAATTCCATTGGTTTGGGAGATATTTAGCATTGAATTTTCAAAAATTTTGACAAGGGTGCGTTTCAACGAGCGTCACGCCCAGGTCAGTGCACCAACTGAGACAAAAAAAACCTGGGTGTTCAAGTTGAGATTATATGTGACCTAAATCCAAGAGATGGGGACACAGGTCCTTGCGGTCTAGGAGGAGAAGCGGTAACGGTGACTTGTATCCCACGTCATCCTGCGGAGACGCAGGAGCCGCAGGAGCCGGCGGAGCTGTACGAGACGGGTCGGGACTAAAACCATGAGTACCGCCAGCGTACACGCTGGTGGTACTAATAAAGTGCATCACTTGTAGCTTTTCCTAAAATTCTGTTAGTAAATATTGAGCTTTTCAGGACTACTAAACAAGCAAAAAAAAAAAAAACTTCCGAGATATTATTTTGTTAGAAACCATCAAACAAGTGCCTTAGTCTACAGCAAAACTCAGAAATATATGTCAGGGTAATAACTCTGGTTTGGAGATTCTATCAGTTGCGGCATCTTCTATCAGTTGGAGTCTTTGCCTGATGAATTTACAAAACTGCAGTTGCCACCATGATATATACATCTATATACAAACAGTACACACACAAATTTAACTTAAAGAAGAAAACAATACCACAAAGCCAAATAACATAAAACTTGAACTAGGATAGTATGACTATGGCAGGGATGTATATTGCAAATCACAAAGCATGCAGGTTATATTTTTCTTAGGCCACTCCATTTCTTGTTCCAAGTATGTCAGACTGTGCCTTCAGAACTTACAACTATTTTGATGCAATATGCTTATGATTTACGGCTATGATAGCAAATACTTGCCAAATAAAAGAAGTATTTCAATATTTTCTTACTTAGTCCCAAAATAAGTGTCAGATTTAGTGGTTGGGCCTACTGATTTCTTGAAAAATGCTTTAACTAACTCTTCATTCAAGAGGATTAATGGTCAAAAAAGCTAGGAGTGTCACATTAGGTCAAGGGTGCCAACGTGATGGATATATCTGCTTTTGCTGTCTGCCATAGTCTCTCACCTCCCACACAGTGTATCTGTGCCTGCAATGAGAGCTCTTTTATCCTGGATTTCAATCATTTGTGTTCCAGTGCGATGTGTACCACTGGGGAGTCCCATTGCAGCTACAGCATCTGTAACCAACACTGAGCCTGCAACAGGGAAAGCAGGAACTGAGACAGGGGGAAGCAGGGCATGCTTTCTTAAAGGAATCCCATCAGAAAGTTGGTCCTAACCTAAAGACCAAACTTTTTGTTTTATTTCAACCCAGGATAAAACTGTTGTAGTCCACTGACATACAGTATTAGTTCTTTTATCATTTTTTTTTTTTTTTTTTTGCAAAACAGGGGCAGTATCTTTAAGTGGAGTACTACTTCATTTATCTTGGGTCAAAATAGTCTTGGGTTTTTGGTCTTTATGTTAAAACCAACTTTCAAAGTATTTTAAGTTCTTTAGTGAAGCCTATACATAGGTTCACTCTACTATGGTAAATTTTATCCATATGCTTACGTAACATACTTTTATTTCAAATTGTTAGAAAATGAAAAACTATTATTAACTACTTTTTGGCAGAATTTTCACTAGCTCAAAATTTTGAACCCAAAACTTACAGGGGCAGACTGAGGGCATCTTCTGGGTCTTCCAGAAGACGATCAGATTTTCAAGTTTACATTGACGGGTATCTAATTTTTGCTGTCTAAAGACAGTCAAAATAAAGGATGTATCAACAAAGATAATTTGGAAAATTGTCAGAAAATATATCTGGATCCGCCCCTGACTTATACTGTAAAAAATTATATCCTGGGGGAGTCAAAGGGGAGAACAAAACCAACTGTGCTGCTGGTGGTGATACCACATAACTTGTAGATATGACAGCAACTAAATAATGGGAACAGTTATTAATAATACTGGTGTCATCTTTTACACCAATTTTAAACCACAGCTGACACATGATGATGTACAAAATCATATATTTATGTTTTAGTACCAAATAAACTGCATGATTTTCCCAATAAATATATCCTCAAAGAAGTTTTAGGGCAGGTTTTTCCCTCCCTCAGCAACCTTTTCGAGAATAAATGGCAGATTCATCTCCCACTCCTTACAAAATAGGAAGGAAAGACACAGAAGAGAACATAATATCCCATATACACACTAGTGGCAATGTAAAAATTGCATCTTTTTAAAACTAGTTCTTTCACAGCTTGGCAGGGGGTGAACTGTTGGGTTGTGAGGGAGGAATAAATGCCCCCACCCCTGTCTGGATATCCTGATCTGCCTCTGCCCATGGGGGTTAAGGGGTGGTGTATAGCACATGAAAAGCATGCAAGGGACTTTTGGAATGCAAAACTAATGCAAAAACTGAAATAAAATATCTACAGCACACAATACTGGTCTGCATCAATGTTCACAAAAAAGAAAATCGAATTCTGCAAAAACATAAAAGCACATGTTAGTAAATTAGGTTCTATCAATGCACAAGCACAAAAGCAAACCCTATGAGTCAACAATACAGTGGGAATGTCAGTACATGATAAGTACCAGTGTCTAGCTTCATCTCTTGGCAAAAATATCCGATTCGAAAGTAGATTCAACTTTGCCACAAGCCACAAACTTCACAATATACCTAACTCAGATAAACATATGGCTATTCATCATCAAAATTTCCAAACTACTTTTCTCATTCAAAATCATTCAAATTGTCAATTTAGATGCCAAGTCATATGCAGTGAAATATTTTACCAAACTGGTGAAAAACTGAAATAATATTTTGCTTTGGCTGCCAGCAAAATATATTTGTTTGATTATTCTTGCAGGTTGAAGCTCAAGCGTTTATCTGGCAATATCCATGTAAACCTAAGTGAGCAACAAGCAAAGAAATGCTGCTGGCTGCTTCTGATCTGACTACCTCCCACATAGTGTTTCTGTCCCAGCAATCATTGCCCTTTTATTCCTGATCTCTATGAGTTGTGGACCTATTTGGTGCTGGCCACTGGGGAAACCCATGGCTGCAATTGCATCTGTTACAAGAACTAGACCTGTAATGTGAATATTTTCATTCCTAATTAGTGCTTTATACACCTGGTCCAGCTTGGTCTAAGGTCTCTCAATTGTACTGGGTTAAAATTAGAATATACATTAATGAGACAGTTATCTTCAAATCCAGATAAATATATTGTTTTATAATTTTCCTTTCAAATAAGAAGCTGCCTTATGAAGTACAAAGCAGTAAGTTTCTCGTTTATTTTAACTTATTAACATTGGGCCACACGTTGTATTGTGACAAACTCCTGCAGTACAATCAATTATGACATGCTGTCAACAGTCACACTCAGCATACTGCCCCTTTTTGGTTTCAACCAAACATTGCACCTCTGGGGCAAGAAACAGTTATGTTGTATGAAAGGTCACATCCAAAATACTGTGCCTTTGGTGCGTGCCACATTGTGAAATATATCACCCCTACCACATACTAACTGTACCTTTGGCATGTGTCCTGTGAGCTATTCTTTCTGCACAGGGGTTAGTATGAATCCCATCAGATATGATACCATAATAAATTATCCTCAAGTCAGGAGGATGCTTATAACTGGCCAATAATCCAACCAGGTGGGGGTCTCTGTGATGAAACTAAAACATTGAAAATGCAATGGCTATAATATGTTATTTTTTACTAATTTAAGACAGGAAAGAATTGCACTCTAATTTTATTACGTTCATTAGTATATCACAGCACAGTTATACTGTCATCTTTTTATTAGTTATATTTTCCTCAGACAAACACAAGTTTTTTTCACTTACAGGCAACATGGCATTGAACAAATGAGTAATGAAGGAAGCACCATGTTTTACAGCCTCCTCTCCTTGAGACAAACTGGCCATGGAGTGACCTGAAATATGATAAACACAACTACAAACTTATTCAAATCTGGGATATAACACATATACATATCTTAACATAAGATGACATCATGTAATTTATGTCAGTTGACACAGATATAATGTCCTTCTTGACAGGTGACACTTCTGCAATTTATTTGGTATAATAGCATCATTGCTCTCTGAAACACCTTCAAATCACATTTTATGTACCTTTTACATTGAATTCAGAATCAGTAATTTATAAACCATAACCAGATCTTGAAAAATGCAACCGTTAGCCATTTTGTTTTTAAAAAAAACATTCTGTTTGGATGAAATGTTGATGAGAGGCCAGAACTGCAATAAACTGAAAGACACCCACCTAATGAAACCACCACTCCTCTATCAACAAATTCTCTGATAACATCAAGGCTCCTTGGAAGTTCTGGGGCTAAGGTAACAATTCTGACTGAACTAATGTCATGGTACATGTCCAACACATCACTGAAACCATTGTCATAGGTGGCCATGTTCTCCAGCAGATGTGCACCACGTTTTTCTTTACTTATAAAGGGACCTTCTACATGAACGCCTGAAACAAAACTGAACATTTTATTGAAACATGTCATCATATGCACCTTTGACTGCAGTGGTGGTATAAATCAAGTAGGGCATCATAATGCACACAATGCATACTTCACAAAGGATGTATCTTTAATGAATTTTTTTTCATATTTTCCAGTCACAATAATTATTCAAAGAGTGAAGCCTTACCTAATATCTCTGCTCCATCTCTGCCACCAGCTTTAATTTTGATTTTTGGCAATACCTACAATTATGAAGTTTCTAAATCAATATATCGTTTCTACCTTTTTATCTTATAGGCTTAGACTTTGGGGCTAAATTTTTGAGAGTCACAATAAGGCAGCTTCATATATAAATCTATGAATGGCTATTGTCAGATTAATTTTAAATATGCCATGCTTAGAACAGTAATGATAAGTAAGATCTGATAAGAGATATCAGTTGTGATTCAGAAAATGTCTTGATACAGTGTTTTGAATGAATAAATAAAACAAAGTGGGCATTTGGGATAAGGGTAATTCATATGTATATTTAAAATGTATTTAACACCAATGCCATTAAGTTACTGTGTCCTTATACATACTTCACAGACAACTGGTTTATTAAATTAATTTATAAAATTAACTATAAAATTAGTTTTCAGGACAATTTTATGAAATTGTTACAGCATAGAATAAAGCAGATAAGCAGACTATAAAGCAAATCAGATAATAAGCCTTTTATAGTCACTTCACAAGTAATCAGGTCTACTCAATACTAAGTGCAAAACTATTTGCCATCAATTTGACTCTTTGCTTAACTATTGACCCCATGATAATTGATAACCATAAGTTTTCAAGATCACTATAGCCTTCATAGATACATTAAGTAGGACCAAAGCAGAAGCTAGAAGCTAGTTTGCCACTGAAACATACACAGAATAATGCAATTTGGCAAAGGCCATGAAATGCATTTAATTTTTATCCAATTTGTCATCAATGAAGATGACTTATATCTTAGTCTGTAAATCTGAGACATTTCTTAAACACACACTGCTGTGGTTAACTGGTATCATCTCACCTTTTTATAGACCTCCTTTGAACTGCTGATGATGGTTGGACAAAAGGATGTGCAGCCATGTTGGAGAATCCCTTTGGCTACTTTCTGTACTCCTCCTTCTATGTCATCGAAGTTGGAAGAGAAGTCAATGCCAAAACCACCTGCAGAGAAGTGCATACTTTATAACATGACAATATAAACAGCATCAATAACTTCTGTTTATAGCCCATTTTCTTATTTATTTATTTATTTATTTATTTATTTATTTATTTATTTATTTACTTACTTACTAAATTTCAAGTGTTATCTTAATCCTATTTATCATATTTCAAAATCCACTGGTTAAAGGTGAGAGGAGTGCAGTTTTAAAAGTAAATTACTTTCCACTGTTCCGTCATTGTGAGTGTGTATGAGTGTGTGCTTCTGACTTGGCCTATAAATTTTCTGCAAAGTTAACATTTAGAGATACATGTACCAGTATACACTTACCATTAATTTGGACATCAATGAATCCAGGTGCAATGATGGCATTTTTACAATCAATTTGAAAGTCTGCATAACCCTTTTCTACATAAAACAATTTCTCAGGGTCAATGATCTTTCCATCTCGCACCCACAAATCTTCCACAAATATACTGTGATTACGGAGTATTCTACAGTTTTTGAACTGGAATATGTGGCTATCTGATACTGTCTTATTCCCTGGCATTCTGTTCTACAAATTTTTACCACTGTTCATAATGAGGTAGCTGTTCTTTTTGTAGGCGAATATTCTGGTCAATGGTATGTCTCAGAGGTAGGTGTCAATATCTCACTGTTCAGTCAGACTGTACAAAATATAAATGCTTTTGTTAATAGCTAGTATGTGTAAGAAAAAATCAATCTGACATAAAGGCAATTAAGGTTATAACAAAGAGTGTGTGAAAGAGAGCTTGTGGTAACGATTGTTATTATAGACAAAAATGAATGCCTTAAGTTCTCAGCAATTAGCACTGAAACAACCAAAATAACGTACCGAGGTTCAACTTTCTCAGTTTTCGGTCTGAAGTGCCAGATATTGCGGTAAGTACATAGCATGAAACTTTGAAAGGCCGAAAATGAGGGAAACAAGGCAGCAAAGCTGTCAAATGTACAGACAAAAAGCAGGAAATAACAAAAAAGGCTACTGTCAATTCTGATGCAAAAATACATTATGTTAAACTGCAAATTCAACATCAAATTTTAATTATGCTCAACAGGTAATACCAACGTAAGTTAAATGTGTAACAAGCATAAGGCTTCAGGCCCATGGGAGTTCAAGTTCACACTTTGAAAATATATAACTTCCAGAAAAAGAAGCCAATTAGACTGCTTTTCCAACTCAGGCTGCATGTCGATTTTTGAACTTGACCTGCGTTTTAGTAAGATCGATTACTCCTGAGAGTTTCATGACAACAGGCCTATCGGTTTTCCTTGAAATGTGTTTACAGTGTTGCATATATGTTGAAAAGTGATAAAAAAGCATAACTTCTACAATAATGGCCCGAACATCCTGATTTTCGAACTTGACCTGCATTTTATGAAAATTCATCAGCTCTATAAATATAAAAACTGCCTTCCACTTATCGTGTTTACAATGAAAGTGCAAGGCGCCGGCGATGATGGCGACGACAGACGCAGGTGATGGCAATATGTACAGACACATCTGTGTCTGTACATAAAAAAGGTTCAACAGCGATATGCATGATTTTGTACTAGTTTGTCGTAAACAGTGTTCTTTTTTTCTGCCTACATTGCTTACACAAAATATAATGATAAAGTTGAGCCATCTGAACAGTAAAAAAACAAAGATACATTTCAAATAGGGATAATACAATTCAATGAATGGAAAAGATATTCTCACCACCATAATCAGCTGACTCCCACCAAAACAATACCACGTGATATGGAATTTCAATATAAGCTCAACTATGAATAGCTTTCTTTTACTTTCAAAAATATCAAGATGACTCATGGATCCCAGTTGGAAACAAAACATCGAATTGGAAGCATTTCATTAAAATAAATCGTTGTTTTAAATAATGGTTTCTATTTAACAAACACACACATTTGACAGGTGCCCCGTGAACGGTTACATCGGTCTGTATTCGTTTTCCTTTATTGTAGCTAAGGTCATGCTGATTTTTTAGTTTACAAATGGCGACCGAAGTTGACGAATTTGATTTGGAGCGGCTTAGAGCCGAAATTCAACAAGAGAAGCAGATGAGGTAGGTGGAATGACTCAAATAACTAAAGGGTTTGTATGCAAAATTGCGCTTCAAGTATTAATGTTTTTCAATTCTGCTTTTTGTACCCTGTGTTGATGACCCCGTTAATCATCCTTGTAACGTGTACGTGTACAATGTTGGTTGTGCATGTTTCTTGCCTCAGTTTTCGACCTTAAAAGCTATGCTTAAATGCTATGCTAAGAGACAGACTTACTTGTTTGGCAACCTGCATATTTGAGCAGGGTACTTGTAGCACTGAAGTTAACAGTTATTATTATAATTATAAGCAAGAAGCATGAGTTGCGGCCACATTATTTAATATTATTTTATACTCCGTATATAGAAAGAGCAGTGATCTGAATTCATCATTTTACAGAGAAATGCTGGACCAATCCTCAGCAGAACTCAAGCTTACTGTCCAAGAACTGGAAAAAAGGTTTGACACTATTGATGACGAAGGGAATGAGTGGAAGACACGCTACGAGACACAGGTTGAAATGAATCAACAGCTAGAAAAACAGGTTCTGGTTTTGCAAGAGAAAGCAGATGAAGCAAGGAAAACGTTGAAAGAAGGTATTTTCCCTTTTGCTTACAGTAAGCATATATATACTAATATGAGCATTTATTCAGTGAGTGTTTCAACATTTGAATTTAATTTTAGGGACAAACAAGTTATTCCCTCCTCCTTTGCCCAAATAAAATTGCATTCATTTGCCATCTCTCACTAAAAGGGACAAGCAGCTTAATATCTGAATCACAGGGATAATAAAAAATATCCAAATCACATCTTTTTTTCTACAAAGGTATGGCCTGTGTTCTTTGTTTACACATCTTTGCATTTCAACTGTCCAAAACACAACTGGATATTGACAATCTGCTACACTGATAATAATCAGGTTCAAAATCACTGAACAGCAATAGTCCTTGATCGGAGGACTGAACAATATTTAAATTGTTGAATCTCTGTATTTCAGGTAAAACGGCAAAGGATCCCAGTAGACAGGCAGTAAGCTTAAAGCAAGGGGATGATTTTAATGATGTAAGTATACAGTTTTATTACTCTTTGATCTCTGAATGCAGTAATTAATAAAATGGTAAGGGAATATGTCATAGTGTCTGATTGACACTTTGGCCTTAAACAATGGTGCTTTTCAGTATGAGTTATAAACATGTCTAAGTGACAGAAAATGTAAATGGCTGTTTATAAATTAAAACCATTTTAGAAATAGCAGACAACTATTTTTTGGAAAAAAATGTGTGAATGAGTTTACAACCATTATAAAAATAAATAACCTTATTGGGGTTGCAAAATACTTGGTTAAATATATTGAAATATGGTGTGAAATAGTGCATGTATTTGATTTGATATTTTTCAGTGCAGAAAAAGTATAATTTGTATTTAAATATGCAAAAAATAATGCTATGCAAAATTGCCCTCTATAGCCACAATATTTTAATAGCACTGAGTACTTTTTTGTTTCAGGCCAATCCACACACAGTAAAACAGATGGAGAGGGAGAAGCAAAGCTTGAACAGCCAACTGAGAGACCTAGAATGGAGACTGGATCAAGAATCAAAGGTATGTTCTTTCTTATATGGACTTTGATTAACTGAAATGAATACATTTTTGACAGTAGCATGATTAAACAGAAGGCATCAAACAGCGTGACAATTAAGTTTCAAAAACACTGTTTAATATTGGTATTTAATCCGAAAACTTCTATTTAAATATCTTCATAGTAGAACCACCTTGCACACGTTTTTATATCTTTTCATTTTTTTTAGATAATTGATTTTTTAAAGTAATTTTACTTTGACAAACTATTCCTAATTTAAAAGTGATGTTAACAATTTTACTGAGAGAAACTTTTGAAAAGTAAGTTTTGGATATCTGAAGTTTGATTATGATTTTCTTCAGGCATACCATAAAGCAAATGATGAACGCAAACAGTATGTGACAGAAATAAACATGGCTAAGTACCAGGTAGAACACATTAAGAAGGCAGGATATAAGGAAGGGGAACAATCTCCAAGGTAAACTGGCCAGTTAAAATTCCTCTAGCTCTAAATTTTAATCATTAAGACCATTTGCACATAACTAACTCGAACACAGTCAAAAATGACTGCAGTTGTGTTTTCCTTCACTTTAATATGTCAAGCATTTCAGTATCGTCTCATTTTTACCACCAAATCTTTCACAGCAAGTAGCCACACTAAGGGTAATTAACAGATAACAACCCTCTTGTTTTGCAGGAACATCCCATCAGACCGCAGAATACTAGATCCACAGAAAGGTCCCATCAAGAAAACTGCTGCTGTCAAAAGTTTGCCTAAGTTAGACAGTGAGCAGTGAGAGGGGCCCTACTTTCTCCCAGCTTCTTACCATTGTGCCATATACTGGGAAGTCTAATCCGTCCTTTTGGATTATCAAACATTCCATATGTCATCAGGAATTCCCAATATCTTATTTGCTTTGATTTTCTTTTCTTTATTTTGTTAATAATGTATATTGCTTAGAATGCTGCTTAAGAAATGATTTTTTTTCATCTCTTACTTTGGAACTGAACTGATGTCAACTGTTGGACACCAATGGAAGGTTTCAATATAAGATTTCTGTACATGTATTATAGTAATGTGCAGTAACATGAAAGTACAATGTTTTTGTTTCCATTTTCTAGTCATATAATATATTTTGATACAATATCATATGTACTTGGAGGGTTTGAATGTATGTAAAGATTTATTGTCATATATATAGATATCTTAGATTTCGTATATCTATCTACTAGTAAACGTATTTGAATACGTCTGGAATGATTATTTATAAACAAAGTAATTTAATCATACTAATTCTTAGCATATTAGATGGTTTCAGGGAAGTTTAATGTCCTAGGTCTGTCTGTGCGTTGTCAACCTAGCTCATGTTGAGAAAAATAGTTAATGAAGCTATCAGTAATTGTTATTTAATGTTAAATAGTCAGAGTTATTCATGAGTATAATGCAAAATCTTTTTGCTTCCTGCATGTTGTTTTCACACATTTTGAAGTAATTTTGTGACGGAGGTAAAATTGTACAACATCTGGATTTTTCAGTGCTTTTGCTGGTCAAAAGTTATTCATATTCTTTATGTTTTGCCTCACTCATTTACGTAAATTATTACTCTAAATATTTCGCATTGTAGAATTTATAAAATTCTTCTAAAATATAATATTGTCGAAAGTAAAACAAATTATTTCAATATTAATTGCAGTTATATATTGTTGTGATGCTACTGATTCAAAAGTGATTTATAGTATAAAGAGTAAGTGCAATGATAATATATGATTATTTGTTTTTGATGGATCTAATAAAAAAAACTGATCATGTGTCGTGCCTTTTAAAATTTAAATATTTTAAAACTCTCCTTTTCAGAAACAAACACATTCAAGCTTTTATAACACCACATTCTGCAACACACACCCCACACACACTAGTTACAAAGGCTTTTAAAAACTTTTAAAAACGGTCAACACTGAAACTCTTCATTGTGGATGAGAGGCATTGAGCGCTCTTAGACCTGAGACTAGTTCCATTTTGTCACAAGGGCGTGGCACTAGCGGTAAATCAATATGTCCTCTCCCGTCTTCTGGGCTCCTTGGAATAGCAACTTAAAATTCCATTTAAAAACAGAAGGACAGATTTATTAACTCTATATGTTGCATTGGTCATTCAATCGTATCCCACATGCCGAACGTTATCAACTAGTATTAGATTTAAAACGGCTTTCCTAAAACATTAATGCTGATCGCGTAAAATACCTGACTGATAAAACTTGCATGCATAGTATGCATAGTCACCATAACAAAAATTGATGGCTAAAAGCTATGTGTACACATTCATTATGTTGTGATAAAATCGGGATACATGTTATGTTGTGACTGTGATCGCTCGATAAATCTAAAATATACAGAAAACGATCTTAACATTTTATAAACTGGGGAAGAGTATTTTAAAATACAATTTTTTTTTCGACAGTCGAGAGACATTGATAGAGGTGTTTTTGCGATCTAATATGACGACACAAAGTAGCGTTAGGTGCCGTCAGGGTATAAGCGCAAGTTACGTAAAATTCGCCTTGCGCCACGTTGACGTCACAACAAAAACTCACGTCACGTAAAAAGATCGTTTAATACAAATGTACATTTGAAGTCATTGTCAATTCAAGATGTCAACAGTGTGTATAGGACAGGGGCCGACAGAAAGAAATATTTTCTGTAAACTCAGTGATCACTACGGAAGATGGGGATTCACTTTTCCCGAGAAGACCAAGAAGATGACGCGATTTTTGTACGAATATATACGAGCGCAAGGTACCTACTGTTTTACAGAAGTCAATGAAAAACGCCCAAATAAAGAAACTCTTTGAAGAGTCTTATTTGTACTACCCGTACTGATTAATAATTTGAAAACTGTTAGAAATTGATGCAGTGTTGCAAAATCCTCAATAGAAAACACCGGTGCCCTTGAATAGGCCAAGGCACTTTTTAGTATTAAAAAGCAAACATCAATAACAGCGCGTAATTTTAGAATAAGATTGAAGACGACTTTACAAAGTTTCCTTGATAGGCCTAATACAAGTGTTCAACACCTTAAATCTATTTTCAAGGTAACTATAAGCGCGTGGTAGAGCGACTGGTAGAAGACGGTCTGGATTACTATGACAAGAGTACTTCTCTACATCCACACGACAACAATGCTAGGAATGCAATATACATGTCGGCCCATCTATGTGAAAAATTTGACATCCAATCATCGGACCTCTTATATAGGCTTTTTATGACCATACACAAATTCGAGAAATCATTTGAGAAACTCTTTGTCTTCTTGGATCCGCTGATGAGCTTAGATGACGTGCGATCTTGTACGCTGTATTCTCAAACTTCTAAAGGTACACTGAACGCGGAGAACTGCATTACCACAGAACGGTTAAACATCTTGGAGTATTTTCTACGACAGGCCAACAGAGTCAAGATCTCCATTCCCCGGCCCGACTGGGATACTAGCGCCTTCGTGATACGGCATGACCCCTACGTCCGATGGAGCCACACCCTGTTTGCTGAGTGGCTTGACGAAAACCTTCGATTGGTTGACATTAACATGCCAGGATCGCGCGGGAAAACGCCTCTAATGCTCGCATGCTGCTCAGAGAGTCCTGAGGCTGTTCTGATGCTACTTCGCTACGGCGCCAACCCCATGAAGCCTACGTATCCCCGTCACTTCTGGGGCAACGATAATGTGGACCTCCAGTTTTTGACGGGCGCGGCCTCTTACTGTTACCCACTTCACACGTTAGTGACAAAACTTAACGCTAACGTGTTTTGGAAGACGCACGCTGAGTTTATGGACCCCGCCATTAGAGAAGAAATTTCTAAGCGACAGAAAGTAAGAGAAGCCCGTCTGATACGTTGCATCGAGTATTTCGCTCGTGCTCTGCTAAGGCTGTCGGTGAGAGTGATAGAGGCGAGGAATTCCCGTCATCACACGGCGTCGTACCTGGGCGGGTTCTACCTCCACCCCGTCTACAGTGACGCGTTCCTGCGCTCGCGGACGCATGGGCCGGCCGAGCTCCAACATATCTGCCGCTTCTACATAAGACAGAGTTTGCATACCAACTTCCAGCTGCCGCAAGGAATTTACTCGCTGCCCCTGCCGACGCGACTAAAGGAGTATGTGGATTTATTGAGAGACTGAACAGCTTTGGGAACGTTGCGAATGAAAAACATACCAAAGCATTGGGCTAGAATCTATCAAGAATCTGGCATTTCGTCGCGTTACGCGTTCCACTGTTATTTCACTGGTTTTCCTCTCAATAGAAGAGTAAAGCTTTCAAAGGTAGGAGGACGAGTTCGAATCTAAGAAACAAATGAGATGCAGATCTTGATATTTATCAGTTCATCGCGCGAATAAATCTGGACAAAGTAAGCTACAAATATATCTTTCAAAAAACTTACTCAACTACACTTAAAACATCTTTGCGGTTTATTGTAAGTTTACTTACTGTGAACACATAATTCTCAAAGCCGAGAATTTCTTATAAATGTGACCCATAACAATTATGATGGCAGTTTTTAATGTGAAAAATGTTCTTCTCATATTATCATGTTTACAAATAAAATAAAGACAATGCGAGGGAATGTTTGTCACGCACTTTCAAAAATCTTTGAAAAATTGTAAAATTGGTCGGACTTCAAAGACAGATTTAAACTCAATTCTAATCTAAGTGCTTAGAAAAGTATACAATACAAAAAACAAAATTATGCCCACGTTTGACATATGCATTTCATCAAAATGACCACTTCTTGAATATCATAAAAATATCATAAAAACGGATATAACTGTGTATAACAATAAAAAATACCATTCAGATCTTTTCATCCAACAAAGCCTTTCTGGCTTGAGATTCATTTTTTTTCTTTGGTATCCAACCAGTGAAAATACAAGTACATGGCACGTAAAACAACATTCAAAGACATATTCTTCTGACAAAACTACTGACCAAGCTTTGCACTGGACAAGCTATCCTGTATGGCATATAAAACATAATTTCAATGGTTTGTTAACTATACTTAGAACTTATAAACTCAAATGTCTTTGTCACAAAAGCATCATACTGAAATTGTCCCCAACACATAGACTGCATTCCCAGAGATTTAGATCGATCCATCCGGATCGACCTAACTCCCTGGGTGTTCACGCTAAATTGCTGTCAGCCGAGCGCACACGACAGTTAATTACCCCCTTACATCTTTTAGTAGACGGGACAGACATTTAAGCCGGCTAAGCTGACAGTAATCTAGTGAGACTCCCCACGGGGAATGTGGGAATGGGGTCATACACCCCATTTCCATAGATTTTTAGATCGATCTATCCCTGTGGAGAGTCTCACTAGATTACTGTCAGCTTGGCCAGCTTAAGTGTCTGTCCCGTCTACTAAAAGCTGTAAGGGGGTAATTAACTATGGTGCCTGCTCGGCTGACTGCAATTTAGCGTGAACCCCCAGGGAGTTAGGTCGATCTAAAACTTAATCTTTAGATCGATCTAAATCTCTAGGAAAGCACCCATAGTTAAGTACTATTTCCCCAAAATGAGACCTAGCTAATTCTGTAAACACCAATTATGAGCATTCTGGAACATTCTCAACCATGGTGATGTTGCTGTCGTTTCCTTCCATTCCTGCGGCATCCAAGGCCATTGCCAGGGCAACACACATCTCTCGGGGTGAGGCATCATGGCAAGATGGCGGCCATCTTCAGAGCAGACAGCACAAGTGCCATCTGGTGAGCCATTAGGATTGAGTGGATACTTCATGGTGGGGTTGCCCAAGTCATCCACAAAAGCCATTGGTAATAAATGTTTGGATTTGTGGGAGTCATGGATAGAATTGTTTTTGAAGACAAAACGGCCTGAAATAAAAGAGAGGGAATTTGAGAAGTTTTCTGCGCGGAATTATACTGCACATATACTATAGTCCTTGTACAAATTTTGCACTTATTTTTGAAGTTGTCCAAAAATACATTTTTGAAAGTAAAAAATCCACTCAATTTCATCACTTTGGTAATATGATTGAGCACTAAAGTACATGCCAGATCCATTTCATTTTCTTGGGCTCAATTTGAAAGATTGGTTTAAAAGCCTTACAGCAGATTCCAAGCAACTTTTAATTTTAGTGTTACTGTCACTTTACCACACAGCTTACATGGTTTTTTGAAATTATCCTTTAAAAAATATAGATTTATTCACCTTCCCCATGAGCTATCCATATTCCAATGACTGAGCCCTCCATGCCCTGTAACATGATGGCTGGGCTGGGCAGGATCTTCACTGTAGGGAAACGAGACTCATATCTACCAGACTCATTGTGATCCAGGAACAAACCTTGGTTGTGAGTTTCTTCTGAAATGTGAGCTAGCTATTTTAATAAACATGTAAATGAAACAGATAATCACATCTACATAAGAGACCATGTAACTAAGCCTAGGAATTAAATTTCATACCCCTTTTACATATTATTTTCATTCACCCATGAAAATTCCATGCACATGCCTTTAAGCTAAAAAAGTTTCAAACATGAATATTGTTGCCCTTACCTGTATAGTCGTCAAGAGGGGCCACCCAGCCCAGAAGTGCCATCAGCTGGCAGCCATTACACACTCCCAGACTAAATGTGTCAGGTCTGGTCCTGAACGCATCCAACTGAGAACGCACCTTGGAATTGAACAAACATGTCGCTGCCCAGCCTAATCAAAATTTTTAAAAGATGAACATCATTTACCTAAGCTATTTTATATAAACAAGGCAGCAAAGCTGTCAAATGTACAGACAAAAGAAGGAAAAAACAAAATAGGGTACAGTCAATTCTGATGCAAAAGTACATTATGTTAAACTGCAAATTCAACATCAAATTTTAATTATGCTCAACAGGTATTTCCAATGTAAGTAAAATGTGTAACAAGCATTAGGTTTCAGCCCCATAGGAGTTCAAGTTCACACTCTGAAAATGTATAACTTCCAGAAAAAGAAGTCAATTAGACTGCTTTTCCAACTCAGGCTGCATTTTAGTCCTGTATTTCTTTTTTGAAAGTTTGGCAATCATAAGTAACATGGTTTTCCCATAATGGTTTTCATGGCAGCAGCACCCAAAATTGTGTGTTCTTCTATTCTGATGCAATATTACATAATGGTTAACAGCATAATGACAATCAATTTTTAATAATAAAATAAAGGTATCATGGATTTTCAGAAAATGTGACTAGCATGGGTCTTCAAGCCTGTGGAACTTCAAAGTCACACCTTGAAAATGCCAATATGTGAAAAATTAAACTTTCACAAAAAAACTGTTTAACCG